GAGGATATTAATCAAATCTAGAGGAAGCCATAAACCAGCAAGTCCATTCAGATGTGGTTGTATAGAAAGAAACTGTTGGAAGAAAAAGAAGCATACTACTTGGAGGAATGCAAAGATGAAGGATTTATTGAAAAAGAACAAGAACAAGAGTATGATGAAGGATCCCAGTGTCAAGATGATGACACACTATTTATTGATGATGATGATACAATGGATATGATTGGAGGAATGAGAAACAAAAGCAGTCATTTAAAACTCTTCTTCGTGTTGTGGTTCACGAATCAACACAAAGACATGCAGAGAGTGAGTTTGAGAAGACTGAAGCAAAAGATGGTTGGCAATCAGAATTTGACAGAGAAGACATAATCAACTCACGCTTACCCGCCAGACAAATGACCTGCATGATGGGTGAGGCAGCCCATTAGCCCGAGGGCCATCCGACGCCCCCATCAAACGTTTGGCAAATGCTGACCCTTAAGCTGTTTTACTGTAGAACAGAGTTTGTTATGTTATGTGAGGATCAAGTTTACACCGTTAATGTGCCTTTAATGAGAGTCCTGATTCAGGGCATTAGTACACTATTCTCTTTCATATGTGGAAAGGCACCACAGATGATAACGCCATGTCGTCCAAACAAACACCACTTTGCGCCTCATTTACATGAGACAAGTAGTTGTTGGTTAATATAGTAATAAATCTTTAAGTTTCGAATTCAAACCACACAAAAAATTTCTTATGTGAACGGACTATACAAGATTGGGGTACAGATGAGGGGAACACCAAATACATTTTTTTGTGATACTAATATAGCCTCCTTTCTGGGTTGTGTTGTTTTGTGTTGCATGCAACGGACAGCTGTCGCTTGCTGCCTTGCTGGTATTGACCAGATGCTAGTTTTGGCAAAGGGAAGTAGAAAGCTTCAGGCAGTAGCTGCAACGCCTCCAAGAAAGCCACTGGAAGCTGCTGCTTGTGAGGTTCCAAACCGATATTCGTTCACGGGATTCAAGGCAGAAAGTTGGTATATTATTACACACTTCATAAAATGTTGTGGCACTGTGGAGATTGATTAGAAGGTGGAGTTTTTATAGATCAAAAATATTTGATGTGTGAATTCTTGCTAATCAATCTATGTACTTGATATATTTTTGTTACAAATTGTTCTTTCTTCAATGATTCTATTCTTTCATAGAGTTCAAGTGTCTATCAAAACTTGAAAACACTGTTAAAATGTCACATGTTTTATTTTAAAAGTTATATATGTTATTTTGTAAATGGGGATCTACGTGTTTCATTTATTTCTAAGCATTATTTGGATTTGGAAAAACTTTTCTACTAAATTAGTTTTGTTCACCCCTTCCTTACACTTTAAAGATTCAATAATATTACACTGACCAAATTTTAGAACTAAATAAAGAGCTCAAATGACATGACAGATAATTTGGACTTCTTTATTTGGTATCATGTCATTTGGGTCTGATTCGAGTTTCTTTATTTGGTGTTATGTCATTTGAACCTTAATAAAAATTCTAAATAATATATTATCATGTCATTTAAATTTTTTATTTGATTTTAAAATTTAGTCAGCGTAACATTACTGTTAAAGATTTGGGTATAAAAGTCGATATTGGCTTAGGTAAGCACAAGGACTATCTAGTTGAGGCGGATCTGGAGGTTGATTCGAGTTTCAAGGCTTAGAGATTTATTACCTGTCTTTAGGTCAAGTTTGATGATGAAACAATATCTTTCAATATTATTTAGTTAGACTAGTAATATTTTCTTTTATTTAATATTTTTCTCGATGTAAAAAGTGAAACGTCTTTTTCTTAAAGTTTAACTTGAAATTGACTTTACTTAGTACTGATTCCAGGTAACCATAGAAAAATGAAGGGACGAAAGAGGAATGAAAAGCGTCCATTGTCTCATGGGGCAAGCTTACTTAGTGGCAATGGTTGATTAATGTTTTGGAGGTTTCTAGCTAGAAGATGTTGGATATGTTTGTTTTGATTCATTTAATGATAATTCAGTTATGCTCTCATAATTTTTAAAGATTATTAGATAAACTACATCTACCTATGAATTTTGGAGCGTCACAATTACACACAATTTTGATTTAGATTTCAGCCCAACCAAAAAGAGAAGCTAATGGCATGTTTTGCCAATTCAAAAATTTTAAAAGGACTTTTTTGTCTCTAAAAATAGTTTTGCATCTATCCACTCTTCTCACAAGAGATTTGTGCTTCATACCTCTAGTTAACTTCGACGAAAATATTTTCTGTGCATTTTAATCCAGAAAAATATGTGGATATTTTGAGATATTAGGGAGGTTATGTGCATTTGAAGTATACTAAGGTGAAGGTTGCCTTTTTCAGGATAAATTATATTTTGACCCCTTTAATTATAACTTATTTTTCATATTATCCCTTAGATTATCATGTTGCTTCTACTACACCTTCAACTATATTATTAGTTCCACATTACGAAATATTGTTGCTTTCTTTCACCCTCGGGCTGTGTTTTCTTTCCCCAATTGCCCCTGACATTATGACAACTTTCATCCAAAAAGATAAAGACAACCACATTCGGGTCTGTGCGATCAATTCAATGTGAAAAATTGAATAGTTTAATGGATAAGTGAAATTAAGTCCATAATTGAGGGGCTCAAAGCATAATTTTCCATTTAATTCGTTAATTCGGTTAAAAAAACGGAAAGAATCAAGAAGCTACAGAGAGAACCCCGAAACTTTACCGCCCAAAAGAACTCTCCCTCTACACTGTCAACGCCTTCTTTTACTTCAGCCCTTGAAATTTCTCTCAGGTTTTGGACTTCTTTCACGCAAATTTACATACTCCTGACTCATGATTCATCAAACCGATATTGTACCTTTGCTGAGCTGCAATCTACCTGGACACATCATGGCTGAGATACTTTCGAGATTTTCCGTCTAGTCTTTATTGCGATTCAAGGCCGTTTCTAAGTCCGGGTATGCTCTAGTCGAACACCCAGATTTTATCTCCACGCATTTCAATTATTCCAATGCATATAGACAAGGACTTTTGGCTGTGAAGGGTAACGAGAACATGCGTGGTGATTGGAATATAACCAGTATCTTTTTGCATTCTTTGGATAATGTGGCTGAAAATGTTCCTTTCCCATCCCCCTCCCGTCGTAATAATGGTTATTTGCGTTTCTTGGGGTCTTGTAATGGCTTGGTCTGCCTAGCAATTGATTTCATATCAACCATTGCCTTATGGAACCCTGCAACGAGACAATATAGATCTGTCAAGGTACCCCGTGTTTTTGATCAGTTTAAGACTGCTTTTCTTGACACATTTGGATTTGGGTTTCTGCCGGATGAGAATGATCACAATGTTGTGAGAATCCCGGGCAAGTTGCACATAGCGGACATGGGTGGCGGAGGTGCAGGTACCGGTACCACTGTGGTTTGGGTGTACACCTTGAACTCAGATTCTTGGAGAGTAATACAAGTTGCACTGGCGGATTTGAGTTTTGGATTTGCATTTCGGTTACCTTCCATGAATGGGTTCTTGCACTGGATGGCACGTACACTTAATAATGTGGATGTTATTGTTTCTTTGGACATAAGAAAGAAGGTATTTCAACTGATAGCACTGCCCAATTCTGGTGGTTTTCACGGAAAAATGATCAAGAGGGAAATCGTTGTTCTAAAGGGATCCCTTTCTATGATTTTGTCTTCAGTGACTGTGCCTACTTCCTTCGAGGTATGGTTGATGACTGAATATGGTGTGCAAGAGTCTTGGACTAAGCAATTCGCAATTGAACTTGGACACTGTCCAAGAACAGTACTGTGCCCAGTGGGAGTCTGGAAAACTGGTGATATTGTCTTTAAATATATGGAGAATAACTCTCATGAGGAGCTGTTGTTGTATGATTGTAGTAGCAAAGAGATAAAGCACTCTCGACTTCACGAAAAGCCGGGTTCTTTCCGTTTAGTCCACAATTTTGTGGAGAGCCTAGTTTCCACCGATGGAGGAAGAGGAGCTCTAGAACTGTAGAACCTACGCATTCATGGAAGGTACTATAACAATTCCCATATGCTAGCTTTGTTCGCCTTTTCTACTTCCTTCACAACTCAAAACATGTGACAAACGTTTCATTTTATGTTTCATTTCTCAATTTCTGATGACAAGAAGAAGAAAGAACTGCAAGTATGCTTATAATGATTTTAAAGCTTTACTTATTTCAATAGCTAACTTCGAGTGGTAGAGGTATTCTCTTGTAGGTTTAGGGTTCAGTCAGTTGAACTTCAGTTAGGCCAATGTGGGGGCAAGTTGACACCTAGAGGGAGTAATCATCAATTTGTGTAACAAACTANTCAGAATTTGACAGAGAAGACATAATCAACTCACGCTTACCCGCCAGACAAATGACCTGCATGATGGGTGAGGCAGCCCATTAGCCCGAGGGCCATCCGACGCCCCCATCAAACGTTTGGCAAATGCTAACCCTTAAGCTGTTTTACTGTAGAACAGAGTTTGTTATGTTATGTGAGGATCAAGTTTACACCGTTAATGTGCCTTTAATGAGAGTCCTGATTCAGGGCATTAGTACACTATTCTCTTTCATATGTGGAAAGGCACCACAGATGATAACGCCATGTCGTCCAAACAAACACCACTTTGCGCCTCATTTACATGAGACAAGTAGTTGTTGGTTAATATAGTAATAAATCTTTAAGTTTCGAATTCAAACCACACAAAAAATTTCTTATGTGAACGGACTATACAAGANTCAAATCAAAATAAAGTTTTATATCCCAATCTTTTGAGATCGGCTATATAAGTCCGTCTTCGTTATTTATTTCGATCATACGCTATACTCTTATTTGAGTTAAGTATTTTCATATTTTTTATTATTATTTAATTCAATTTAAATTTAGATCTATCCTTACTTCTAGTATCAATAAGATAAATTTTATCCTTTTTTTTTTAACCGATGCCTCTATCGACCTATGTTAAACATGATCAAACTATCTTTATCTATTATCTCTTAATTTATTCTCAATTAGAGCAACTCTTATTATTTCTATAAAACGGCTATTTTATATTCTATCCTTTCTAGTTTTTCCATCGATTCTCCTTGACATTCTCATTTTCATTGCAATCATTTTATCCCTAACTAATTGTTTTGCAATAAATGAAGAAGTGGAATCAGAGTAGAGTAGAAGATCTGGTGTTCAAATTTTACCCTCACCTTGATAATTCAAAAAAAAAAAAATTATATGTGAGATTCTGAATCTAACCTGCACATCAAAAAATTGCTTATTGAAATATGAATATTTAAGTTATACCCTCTTTTAACAATTTAAAACTTTTAGATGAAATGGTGATTTTGCAGTCTATTATTAGTTTTTGTTGTTTGCTCTATCAAGAACTCCGTAGTTCTGGTATCATTGCGACCGTTAGTAGACTGTACGTAGTTGTTTCATCCTAGGTAGTTAACTGTCGAAACCTGTCAAAACTTTTGTTAAAGGAAAGTAATTAGCATATCTTTATATTTTTTTTATTTTTTTTAGTAATTTGCATATCTCATTTGAAGAATCTTTGCCTTTCTGTTTTTGTGTGGTTGTGTTTCCCCTTATTCTTGTGTCTGAACTAGTTGAATTTTCTAATTTGGTGAATCATACTTTGTCTCTCGAAAGATCTTAAGCTTTTATTGTGCACTCTTATGCTCCGTTTGATAAAGAGGATGAAAAGTAAGAGTGATACACTTTCCTTCATTTGTATTTGGTTGGATGGATGAAAAATAAAATGACTATTTTTTTTTTTTTGTGCTGACTAAGATTAAAGGTGACAATAAAGTCGAGTTATGTCGTGTTAGATTCGTATTGAATCATTACAAGTTTGTGTCGAATATTAGTCAAATCTAACTTAACTCATTTAACTAATTGTGTAGTGTTGAGTTGCGAGTTGACCTATTTATTTTCGTATCGAGTTCGAGTCATGTCATCGTGTTGAGTCAAAAATTTTCACCTTTAGTTAAGATGGAAAAAATATTTTTTTTTAACTTAAAATTTTTATTTTTTTATTTTTTAAAATTAATTTTAAAAATTTTTAAAATATATATACATATTTTACCACTGTATTTTTATATAAAATTAATGTATACATAAGATATATAGACAAATAAGATACATTTAAACACAAATAATGAATTTTTCATCCACTTTCCTTCCGATTTTTGAGGGATTGATTTTAGTGAGTTGGAAAAAAAGTTAATTCATCCACTTTTCTATCTTTTCTACTTTCTTTTCTTACTAAACATGATGTTTTATTTATCCCTCCAACTTTTCATCCTTCCAATTTTTTATCCTCCCACTTTTTAATCGTACCAAACAGAGTATTAGATTACAAGTCACACATTGGACCTCCCCTTGAATTTCTTTGAATTCTAACGACGTGTCTCTTTTCCCTCATATTTTTACAAATTTAAGCCCCAAATTAGGTCAAGATTGGGTGCATTTTTAATATATACATAACTTTAGGGTAAGGATGGTAAATGAGTAGGTTGGGTTGGTTATGGGTTGGGTTAAATTGGATTGGACTAAAATAAATTAAATTTATTTTTCACTCACCTAGTAAATGGGTTATAATGGGTTGGGTTTATAACGGGTTGGATTAAACTGATTAACCCATAAAATAATTAAAATTTTTAATAGACACATTAATACACCAAAATACACACACACACATTAATAATAAACCAAAATACAAACATACACAAACACACTAGTACACCAAAACACACACAAACTAATACATTAAAAATATACACACTAATACACTAAAATACACACTAATATACCAAAAATACACACACATATACTAACACAAAAACTAAAATATATTTAATAAAAAAAATGCACACATAATAGGTCGGGATCAATTATGGGCTATGGGTTAGTATGTAAGTCATGGGTCGACCCATGGGCCGTGGGTCATGGATTGACATGTGGGTCACGAATTAATCCATGGGTCGTGGGTCAATCCATGGATTGTGGATCGCAGGTCAATCCATGGGTCATGGGTCGGGCTCGTGGATCATGAGTGGTGTATTAGTGTGTGTTTTTAGTGTACTAGTGTGTGTGTATGTTTTGGTGTATTAGTGTATATGTGTGTATTTTGATATACTAGTGAGTGTATTTTTTGTTATATTAGTATATTTATTTAATTTATTACTTGTATTATTCAATAAATAAATAAATACTCAACTCAATTGGTACTCATTTGTAATCCATATTAACCTGCTTAACTAGAATCAATCATATTACTCAACTCATTTATAACTTATATTAATTAATATAAGTACCTAACTCATTTATTTATGGACGAATTTAACGGATTAATGAATAATGAGTTAAAATTGTCACATCTACTGTGGTGTAACTTGAGATTTTTAAATGGAGCAGAGTTTCATTAATGGTCATAGTTGGAAATGCATAATGAAAACTGTGATTATTATGGGGACAATATGAACTTAATAACTATTTTTAAGGATGTATTACGAAAGTACGTGATAATTAGAGGGATAAGGCAAGCGATGACAATGTTGAAATGTCAAAATACAAATTTTTCTCTAACAAAAAATGATGATGCGTTTTGTGCGGTTGAGTAGAGGCGAATGGTTTTGAGGATTTTGCCAAGGACGATGATGAGTTTTCCTGAGCTCTTGGGGTTTTAACAATCAATTCTGGAATTAAATAAATACGAACAAAGATCAGTAAACTAAAAATTTATAGTGGTTCACCAACTAAAAAATTTAACTGATCCACTCTAATAGAGTCTCTTACTCCCATAAAATACTTTGGAGAAAAGGGTTACAGAATTACTTAGTGTCAATGACACAAATGCTTTGATTGATTCCAATGAGAGAGATTTGACCCATATTTATAATGTATAGTTGACTTACTTGGTCTCTACGATCTTTTCGTAACCAATGCAACCCTTACATAATCAACGTGATCCCCTTGAGACCTTTACGATACATGTACCGGAATATTTGGCTGTTTGGGATTATATTTTTTTAGGCGTGATTATATTTTTTAGGCGTAACGTGACCTTCTAAAAAGCGTGTACTGTCGTTGTCACTGTGTTCGCGAAGGACACGCCGGTGATGATTCCCGACCTACGCTTCCCAAGCTAATAATCATGAGCTGAGACGTTGGAGTTGAGACATTAGAACTAAGGGGTCGAGCTTAGCCTTTCCTAATTTTTGGTATCATCAAAATCAAATGTTTTTTTCTTATGGGATACACTTCGAGAAACTACTTGATGTATTTTTTTCTTTTTTTCACTGTTCGATTTCTGCCAATTCATTGTGTTTCCTACAAACATTGATCCCGACAAGTTTCCTAATTCGTAAAATTTGTATGTTGTCTCACCATGCGTCCAACAATTATTGGTGACAAATCAAATCGCTTCGACTGAAAGGGGTCATCAAGTGAGCGATCGTGTTAATTCATCGCTAAAAAAACTTACAATTCAACGAGATTAAGTTATGATCAACAAGGTCCGTAATTTGGGATCAATTTACAAAAACTTGGGATCAGTCCTAGTTGGGGTCAATCCCAGCTTTTCTAGATTTTAAGTACCAAGTTACTTGACAGTGTCATAACGTTTAGTAGGTAAAAAATCACCAAAATAAAGATCGATAACGTTATTTGAACTAAATTAATATAATTTGTTGATATAATCTATCACAACCATTACATTGGTTGCAAGTTCTAAAAAGTATTGATGCCCAGCAACTTATCGCGAGCTAAAACGTTCTATAAGCCGAGCAGCTTATCTCTAGGACAAGTTGAAAAGCTTCGAATTTTCATAAGTTAAAAGCAACTTATAGAGCACTCTTTAAGCTGAGCAGTTTATCCTAGGAAAAGTTGAAAAGCTTCGAATTATTAGGTCAACAAATTAAGTTACTGAATTAAATCCAAGTAGCATTTCTTAATATTAATACTAATACTTGGATCTGATTTGCTGACCAAATTTATCACAAT